CAGACCCCAGAGACCCACCCTATTGTCTCAGGTAATCGGAGACGCCAAAAGGCCACGACATCCGTTCTGGCAGAAAGGTAATCGGAAGACCCCCGAAGCCCGCGGCATCCGATCTGGCAGAAAGGTAATCAGAGATGCCAAAAGCCCACGACATCCGCTCCGGCAGAAAGGCAATCGGAGATGACAAAAGCCTGCGACATCCGTTCCGGCAGAAAGGTAATCGTAGATGGAAAAGCCCGTGACATCCATTCTGGAAGAAATTTATTCGGAGACGCCCAAAGCCTGCGACATCCATTCCAGCCTTAAGGGAACCAGAGACACCAAAAGCCCGTGACATCTGTTCCTGCAGAAAGGTAATCGGAGACCCCAAAAGCCCGCGAATTCTATCCAGCAGAAAGGTCAAAGAGAGGCTAGGCTCTGAGTAGCTGAATTGGTCACGTCACGGGACAGCCATCAGACCCCGCAGACCCACCCTATTTTCTCAGGTAATCGGAGACGCCAAAAGTCCACGACATCCATTCTGGCAGAAAGCAAATCAGAGACTCCCAAAGCCCGCGACATCCGTTCTGGCAGAAAGGTATTCGGAGATGCCCAAGGCCCGCGACATCCATTCCGGCAGTAAGGTAACCGGAGACACCAAAAGCCCATGATATCCATTCTGGCAGAAAGGTAATCAGAGACACCAAAAGATCGCGACATCCGTTGCAGCAGAAAGGTAATCTGAGAAACCAAAACCCGCGATATCTGTTCCGCCAGAAAGGTATTCGGAGATGCCAAAAGCCCACGACATCCATTCTGCCAGAAAGGTCAACGAGAGGCTAGGCTCTGACTAGCTGAACTTGGCACCTCACAGGACAGGCATCAGACCCTAAAGACCCACCCTATTTTCTCAAGTAATCGGAGATGCCAAAAGCCCACGACATCGATTCCGGCAGAAAGGCAATCGTAGACGCCAAAAGCCCGCGATATCTGTTCCGGCAGAAAGGCAATCGGCGACGCCAAAAGCCAGCGACATCCATTCCGGCAGAAAGGCAATCAGAGACGCCAAAAGCCCGCGACATCCGTTCCGGCAGAAAGGCAATTGGAGACGCCAAAAGCCCGCAACATCCATTCTGGCAGAATGGTAATCAGAGACGCCAAAAGTCCGCGACATCCTTACTGGCAGAAAGGTATCCGGAGACGCCCAAAGCCCGTGACATCCATTCCAGCAGTAAGGTATCCACAGACACCAACAGCCCGCGAGATCCATTCCAGCAGAAAGGTAATCGGAGACGCCAAAAGGCTGCGACATCTGTTCTGGCAGAAAGGAAATCGGAGACCCCCAAAGCCCGTGGCATCCGTTCTAGCAGAAAGGTATTTGGAGACACCCAAAGCCCGCGACATCCATTCCGGTAGTAAGGTAACGGGAGACACAAAAAGCCCGCGATATCCATTGCAGCAGAAAGGTAATCGGAGAAACCAAAAGCTCGCAACATCCGTTCCAGCAGAAAGGAAATCGGAGACGCAAATTGCCCGAGACATCTGTTCCCGCAGAAAGGTCAAAGACAGGCTAGGCTCTGACTAGCTGAAGTGGGCATTTCACAGGACAGCCATCAGACCGCAGAGACCC